ATAAAATCTGATACAAATTTATGAAAAAAGAAAGGGCCTAATTTTGAAAAAAATCTTAGAAATGTGGGAACATAGGCACGCTCCCCTCTACGGTACGCTAGCATCTAGTTACCTTAGCATAGCCTAAAGACTGGAAACAGAGGGAAACAGCTAGCCTGTCTCCAAAGGTATCAAAATCCACCTACAAGCTCCTGATACAACCTGACACTTGTAGCATCATTTATGTAGCTGTTTGAAACTTTCGATACTATTATATAACTTAAAAAGCCAGATTTAACATGTTTTCAGTGAACAATGTCAATCTCCCAACATTTAAAAAAAAAAAATTATTTTAAATGTACACAAACAAACACACACACATTTTCAGGTTGCCACTATTTCACACAACTCACATTGCCAGTGACCATAACATCAAAGCGGATTGCATATGCCTTGTGAAGTGTCCGGAAATCAGTCCCGTTTTCTGTCTTGAAATATTTGGCAAATCTGCATTCAAAGAAAAAAAAAAGAAACAAAGTGAAGATTAAAAAAAGGAATAAACAGATGGAGTAGACATAAGAGTAAAAATCAGCCTCACTACCTGAAGTTGTAGCCTTTGGACACGGCATTCTTGGCAAACGGTGCATCGAGTCGCGTGAAAGAGTACTTGGGTACACAATATTCAATGTCCAGGTCCAGGTTACACTTCCACTGAATGTTAATTCCTATTTCTCCACCCTGAAAGAGAAGGAGGAGGAAAACACCAACCTTGAGGATCTACACCTGCAAGTTTGTGATAAAAGTAACTTTTAGTGTTTAAATTCATCTGACTTTTTATTTACTCAACATGCTTGTAATAATCAGGGTTAGGTCAACCCAGAAAGTGGTATAGTAAAAATAATCTGTGCATCATTGCAGAAATGTTGGTTTCTTGAAGCTATGTGATGTAGCGACTTCTGCTCACATGGCTGGTTAGTAAACTGCTGTATTGGCAAGCTAACAACCTTCCTAATGGTCAGTAAGCTTAGCTCTCTCTCTCTAACAGGACAATTTCAAGGCCAATAGTCACACAGTTCATTAAGAAGACATATTTGTAGAGGTTTTTTTACAGGAAGTTAAATAAAGGTAAATGGTGCAACACAGCAATAAGCCCCCAAAGTTCAGCACTGTCAGGACAAATAATCAACAGCACAAATCTGCCACAAGTCTAACTTGATGCCAAAAAATGAACACCTTCTCCAAACTGTTAAATGCTGGTGTGAGAAATTTCATGTCTATGAGTTTCACTTCTATGACTGCTTGCCTCCTATTCCCATGCATGTAAACAAACTACTTTTCTGTGCAGTTACAACATTTTAACCTCAAGAATGAAGCGTGAGGGGATTCTCTTTTAAGAAAGGGGAGGAAGGAGGCAATAGAGGACCCATCAGACCTTTTCTGCCAGGTCAGCCACGTTCTGTCCAGTGTACTTCAGCACATCACCCACAAGAAAGATGGGACAGAAGGGGTTCGTCTCCGGATGGAAGGTACATTTCCTGATCTCCTCAGATGTCATTGTGGAGGGAAAGTTCCCTCTGAGAGAGAGATGATTTCATGTTTATGATTAGACAAAATGTATGCAGGTTATTTGTATTACATATTTACTGCACATTTGTTGCTCTCGTCATGTTAACAGGATGTTTTCAGCTGCTTAAATCACAGAATGTGTTTGTATGCATGTGTGTGTGTGTGACCGACCTGGTGACATTGAAGAGTGGGAAACGAATACTGTTTTTGATGAAGATGGTGAAGTCGTTCACTTCCAGCATCGGTTTGCTGGGGAGGATGTTGACAAAGAAGCAGGGGTAAGGATAACAATCGAGGCTTTCAATGAGGGAAATGTGTGGTGCACAATGCATATTTTTGTGTGTATCTTACATCTTGCTACTGCTGTTCTCGGTTGGACACCAGCCTTCCACCTCACACATACCCATGGAGTTATTGAAAGACTTGAGGCAAACACCTGTTATTATGCCTGGTGTGTAAGACAGAAAGAAAGGACAAATGTTTTGTTGAATTA